ATCGAAGGCATTTTTTGTATTTTTTTGTGACGCTGTTTTCGGCCAATCCGCTGATCCTTTTGCTCCGATTTGGTTATGGGGGTGTTTAAAATCGAATTTTGTGTAATTTTTTTTTTTTACTTCTTTTAGTGGTTAGAAATGGCTCTAGCACGGTGGTAGTAGCAATCGGCTTCCTTCCCGACGACTGGGTCTTCTTCTCTGGCGGGAGGGTCTGGCAACTAGGGTTAGCATTTAGTGTGAAGAGGGTTATTTATATCCGTCACCCTTTAATCTGGGTCGTCCATCGCGTTTGATCTGAACCATCCGATCGCGATTAAATAGGGAGTGAATCTGAACCGTTCATCGCGATTTAATCTGAACCGTCTAATCGCGTTTAAATAGGAATTGGATCTGGACTGTCAATGTGCGCAGGAATGAGTCTGAACCGTCCGATCGCGGACACGTAGATTGCCAGCATGGCCTCCCACGTGGCACCGCGTAAGCGTCCCTTGCCACGCGACGTACTCCGGTTCGTCGGGACTGCTGACTGGGCATCCTACGTGGCACAATTTCTTTAAATTACATTCTGACTCTCGATTTTCGATTTTTCTTTCAAAAACACCCCCAAAACTTAAATTTTCACCAATTTTTTTCAAAATTATTTTCAATTTCATCCTCCAATTAATTTTCTTTATTTTTTTATTAAAATAAAATCCAAAAAAACTAAATAAAAATATATTTATATATTAATTTTAATTATATTAAAATTAATTAATTTAGGGTATTACAATAATCTGCAAAATCATATCACCCGAAAATCGTGCACTTTTGGGTAATGTGTTTTCAGCTTTTTTAAGGATTAGATCTAATTTTAGAAAACTTCTAATAGCTCTATTTGACTTTAGCACATACAATTACTTTCCTAAAGTAAATTTTCTAAAACTTTTTAAGAATCAAATTTGAAAATTAAAAAGAAAAATATCATTCCTTCTTTTTGAGTCTCCATTGAGTTCTAACTATGCTTTTCACTTGCAAAGTAACTATTTGAGAGAGAAAAATATAATATTTTTGTCTATATTATAGAGAATTATAAAAAAAGTTTGTGAAAATCTTTTGAGAGTTTTATTATTGAGGAAACACAAGCGATTTGTAAGACAGACATTAAAAATAATAACATATTATAAGAAAAGTTTGAGAGAATCTATAAGAGTTCTTATATTCTGCACAAGTAATTGGTGAATTAGTCACCAAGAACAACTAACATATTATAAGCTTTTTAAAAATACAATGAAAACTCAAGCAATTAATTTAAAAAAGAGAAAATATGTGCTAGTGGTGTAGACGAACCTTTATAAGAAAGGTTTGCATTATCTTCATTTTTCTTCTTCAATTTATTTTTGATATCCTATTCAATATACCTTATATTGCATCCTAACTCACGTTCCAAATACACACCCGACGATTTGTTTGCAAAGTAAAACACTTTATTGTTATCTGCTCACATCATTATTATTGTCCGGAGAACTTAATGAAAGAAGCACCAGATTGCATTTGATGTTCGAGCTTGAGGGCAACATAGCGGAAGAGAAAATTAGTTTTGTAACAAAAAAAAAAAAAAAAAATCAAGAGAGAAAGGAATCCAGAGAAATTGAACAGCTGGAGTAAGATGCTGGAGAAGAAATGGACGCTGAGCTTTTGAATACTGAAATAGACGGGAAAGAGGACTAGGAAAAGGAAAAATAGTGAGAAGAAAGAGAGGGAGTTGTATGCTAAAAAGGGAAGAAAGTAGAGGGATTTTCAGGTTTGAGGCAGAGGAAATTGGACAATATCCGATTCAAGTTTTCTTCATGAAGCAGTCAGTAATCCATGTGGGTGAATAAGTTTGGTTTTGTTCATATTTTGAGCTGGTGTGGTTGAATAATTTTTGGTTTCAAGTTCGTCTTGATGGAATATGTGAATGATGATGCTTCAACTAATTAATGAAGAATATATGTATGTATATTATTTATACTTCTTACGTAAAACTGATTAGCTTCAATTGATCTGGGTTGTGATTTTCAAGCACATGTGGTGAAGAGATACCAATTCGGTGGAACTTTTTATTATATTTACGTCATGAGATTCTACTTGCTATTTGGTTTAGAGTTATTGTGATATATTCAATTGTTATTTTGCCTATAATTTGATAACTGTAAGGAGTATTTATGAGGACGTCCAAGCATTCCCATGACTTGTAAATAATTTTAATTACTTAACTAACTTATGAATGGATGACATTTTCACTTACTTATTACCTGTTTTTTGGGGCTACTTCGGAAAGAAGTCTAAAAGTAATATGAAGTTTCGTTAATTTATAAAACATGTTAAATTTTTTTAGGTAATTAATTCTATAATTTTTGAAAGACATTTTAATTATAATAATTTTTAATTTTGAGTAGCCTTATGATTAGTTACAAATTCATTAAATTAGTGTCATATTGTTGGATTATTAAAATACAATTTATTATGGTAAAGTTGGCCAAAATGGAAGGAGGCAACAATCCCACATTATAGAATCCATCAATGCTCTAATAATTCGAAGGATGAACAAAAATGGGTACAGGATGTAGTTAATGGAGCACACTTTGCGACTAAATTTGAAGAAGCTCACTACTCCCCTGCAACTACAACATTTCCGGTGGGACTGCAACACTATACTAACCAAGTCTTACTCCACCTTAACAACCTGTAGACATATCGGGACAACCTCTTCTGTTTAGAATTATTGACCTTTACTATACAATTTTGTGCCCAAGTGGGAGCAAAAAGAAATGAAATGACAAAAAGCACCAATACTTATATCTTGTCATCGATGTAGGATTTCCAGCAAAATTTAAAGTACCAAATTTCACCAAATATGATGGGATTGAGTGCCCGTGACAACATTTTAAGTGGTACCAAGTTAAAATGACAGAGTACATATCGATGCAAGGTACTTTCACTAATTAGTGGATTTCATGGGAGCGACTGATATCATTGTCTACTCCAAGTAAGATGCAATGGAGGATAAGAAGTTCACCCTAAACAACACAGCTCAGGAGAATTGGAAGGAATTTGTTTCGATGATTTGAGGACAAATTTGATGGTGCAGTCTTCTTTTCGGAATTTTTTGAGCTTCCAGCTCTAGGTATTCCTACACAAGATTATGACAACCAATAATACCTTATAGTCTACACTCATCCTCTCCATTTATCCCCATTAAGGGGCAGAGTTCTAATCCAGATTCTCAAATTCTGAAACCTAACTTCCAGAATCCAGATGCCAATACCCAAAATTTTATAACAACTAGACTTAATCAGGCTCATTTATAAGCTAGTAAACAATGGACTCAGAACTTTTTGCAAGACAGAATCAAATATAACAATTAAAGCTCCCAGGAACTTTCTCATATCAGAAATTACCACTAGAATTGTATGCAGATAACAAACAGAAAGAAAATAAGGAAAGATCCAAATCACGCAATATGATGATCAAGAATAAAATGAAATGATATTATCAAGCTGTAAACAGGAAAACTGTATACCTAGAAAGAAAATTTTAAGCTGTATTTAGAAGGTACTAATTCTAAAACTAATGCAGAGAAAACAGATAGCAACTTTATTGGCTTCAATGAACTGGAAACTAACAAAGCAAACCATCTATATCTCAACATAGCATAATCCTTATAAAATTCAAACCCAAAACGGAGACACATTATATAAGCTCATGTGACATATATGTTAAACTGCAAAAAACATGCTCCCTATTTACCAATTTACTATAATTGCTGTGGCGATACTCATTTTGTACGCTCCTCATCACTCAGTTCATCTTCGATTCCATAGCTATTCATTCTTGACGACGACTGCTTAGCACATTTAACAATCTTTGCTGCCTCTTTGCTAATTTTTTCTTGCTCTTTCATTGCCTTCTTTAGCATCTTTTGCTGCTCCTTCACCGAAAAAACACTAATATCTGGTAAAAAGTCATCATTCAGGTCCCAATCAAAACCACTACCCAGCACCCTATTCTCGTTGCTCTTTTTCATGGAAGCTTTTTTCGGGGAGCACCAAAAGCACCCCGTGCTTCGCGGCGAAGAAGGTGAATCCAACGAACCCAATCGAGAAGGCACCGACCCAGACTTCAATTCCGATCTTGAATTCTTTTTCACTTTTGGGCTCTGTTCGGATGGCGAGAAAATTGCAGTTGGAGTCCAGGAGTTTGAAGAATCCGAGGTAGATGAAGCAGACCCGTGTTTGGGTTTCTGTTTAGAAGGCTTTTCCTGATCTAGATTTGCATTCGAACACAAGAAAACATCATTTTCTATTGAAGACTTTTCTACGTCCTTACCTCTCTGCTGTTTGGAATACGAGAAAATTCCAGCTTCCTCATCAGACAAACGTTGAGACCCGATTTTCCCATCTGCGTTCAGTGGGTTTCCTAACTCACTCTTTGAATGAGAGAGAGAGTGATCAATTGAGGATTTAGGGTTTTGTTTAGTGACAAGAAAGGATTTGAGTCTGCGGAATCGTGACTCTAAATCTTCGGGCAGGACTGAGTCAGTGAAGCCGGAGCAGTTGATGGCGGCCACTTGTTCCAGAACAGAGAGATCTTGTATTTGAGATATCAGGTCCTCTACAGCAGAATCATCTGGATCAGAAAAAACCCCAAAATCATCATTCATCGTTTAAGTGAGAGATTTTTGGTAGGTCTAGGGTCTGTCGGTGTTGATTTCTGGTTTACTGAGCTTTTTAGCAAGTAGAAGCACAACGGCTAACTCATGCTATTGGCGTTTTTAAATTCTCTATTTTTCGATCCCAAAGTTTCTCTCCTTCTACCACACCTAAAATAATAAAAAAGTTATATGTGTTTTTGGTGTGTCATATGAGAATTTAGCTACTTATCCAATATTCATGACTTGATCTCCATACTTTCCTCAATATATTAAATAATTAAATTTTTAATTTTTTTAATAAAATCTTATTAATAATTTATTTCTATATTTTTAAGTACAAAATTTTAACTACAAAATTATCAATTTAGTAGAATTTCAATTACATTTCAAAGTTTTAATTAACTTTTTTCCTGTTAAGTATGTCGAGTACTATAACTTGTTGTTTTATAATCTTTTGTTATTTTTTAATATAAAATATAAAATTACAATAATGATTGTATAATAATTACATTTATAAAAGTTATATCATTAAAACCTTGGAAAAACTTGGGTTTCAAAGCCAAAAACCCAATTCTTATTCCTATTTCCTCACATTACAATTACTTAGTGAAAAGATAAATATATCTTCTCTCCCCAACAAAAGTAAAACTTTCACATTTACCAATACTGCAACCAACCATCATTAACTCATTCACTCCTATATTATTATTATTGTTTTTCTTTTTTAAAAAAAAAATATTATCTCCAAATTAATCAAATTTAAAATTATTCATATAGTAATTTTTTAAAGTTTCCTTATATTATTTATCATCTTTGTTAATTTTTTCTCACATTATTTATCTATATTAATATAATATATAATGTGTCACAATATGTGTGTATTTATTTTTAATAAAAAAGACGTAAATTAAAAAGTCGGTTATAGAAAATAGGACTGAGATGGTTGCACCACCCCCAATTGATAAGACTTTTTGGATCTTAGGAATCCCAAACAATTATGATTGTCTAATTCCTAACTCCATGCTCCTTCACCAACTTTTTGAATGCCACATCTTTTGCAATATTTTATTGTTAATTAAATCAATTAAGTGAATGATCCACTAATCTAGTATTTTATTTTTTCGTCTATTCATAACGATTGAAACCAACTTAAATGATACCTAAAATAATAGATAACCGTTATAAAGAAAAATGTACATTGATGGAGTGAGAACCTTAAAATAAATTATAAAGTTATTGTATTTTATGAATATTAATCTATAATAATATAAACGGTTATTAACACATTCAATTACCTTGAATGTACTTTGACATCTCATCTCATCTCATCCATAAAAGAAGTACAAATTCTCCTTTCAAGGTGTCTTCAATAATTAAAATTATAAAATTTTGTGCATAATAGTTAGATAGAGAGAAGAAGTGAGTCAGAAAATTAAGATCATCTCTAAGAGGTCTCTCAATCATGCTATGCCTGCATTATCTCATAACGGTATGTAGTTCTAATTTTTTGCTGTCTTTCTTTTCTTAAGATGTGTTTAATTTAATAAAAAGATAATTTCTGCATAAAAGTTTCTTACATTTGGTATTGGTCAGTAAGGTTGAATCCACACATCTTAAAATTCTACTAACAGTTTATATTCATATATATATATATATATGATACTAATAATTTATATTTATATATATTATTACTAACAGTTTTATATATATATTATTATACTAATATTATATATATTATACTAACAGTTTATATTTATATATATTATTATTAATAGTTTATAATATATTATTATATTAATATTATATATATATATATTATTGCACTAACAATTTATATATATATATATAATTTTACACTAACCGTTTATATACATTATTACTCTAACAATTTATTTATATATTATTGTATTAACAGTTTATGTATATATTATTACACTAACAGTTTATATATATGTATATATTACATTAATAGTTTATATATATATGTTAAATTATAGTCAATTTCGTAAATATAAATAGATATGTATATTTTATACAAATTATGGTTTCGTAATTTTATGACTTAAGATTTATTAATATGGCGAGTTACCAAAGTAATCCAGGTTGATGAGTCTTACGTCAGTTAAATTACATTAAAGAATTATGGGAGACTTATAAAGGAATAATATATATATTTTTTTATAATTATAAGATTGAGACTAAGCTAGAGGAGAGTCACTTTCTACTAATTATGAACTGATAGTTTATTTTGTGTTATTTAGATAGATACCCAAAAGTAATATATAAATGACATAAAATATTAAATATTTTAAGCTTCTTTAAGTGAACACTAGATATGCTAACATTTTATCCAAATGAAAAACTATAGTGATATCAATAGTTCATCATTTATATATTTAATATTATAAATATACTTGAGGCCTTATTTTGAGCATTGTTCTTTTTTTACAGTTCCCACTTTACTGTATTCTTTTGCATCTAGAATGATAACTTTTGATGGGTCAAATTTTGCAGAGTGGTATGAAAGAGTCCAATTCTCACTAGGGTTATTAGATCTTGATATGGTTTTGATAATTGAAAAATCTCCTGAAGCTACCGATGATAGTACTCTAGAGCGTAAGAAACAATTCAAAGCCTAGACAAGGTCAAACAAACTCAGTCTTATGTTTATGAGAATGACCATTAACGTCAAAACTTCCCTCTCTCAAATTGAGATAGCATCATAATTTCTGAAATATGTGGAAGAGTGTTTTAAACGCACGGATAAGTCTTTTGCAGGTACATTGATGGCTGAATTTACCATCATGAAATATAATGGTCATAAAGGAATTCAGCAACACATTTTGAACATAGTTAAAAAGGCTGCAAAACTTAAGGCACTAAGAATGAACATGGATGAGTCATTCTTAGTTCAATTTGTCCTTAACTCACTTCCTTCGCAGTTTGCTCCATTTAAAATTCACTATAATACTAATAATGAATAGTGGAATATGAATGAGCTTACTAGCAAGTGTATTTAACAGGAAATGAGATTAAAACAAGATGGACATAACTTTACCCTTGTAGTTACTCATGGAGTTATGAAGAATAAAGGCAAATCCAAAAAAATAAAGAACATTCCACCAAAAAAATAGAGTAGACCTGGGAAGAATAATCAGAGTCATGATGGAAAATTTACTCTGAGTTGTTACTTTTGTGGCAAGAAAGGTTATGTGAAAAAGGAGTGTAATAAGGTAAGGTTTGGTTCGAAAAGAGAGGTATGAATCTTTCTTTTGTATGTTATGAATAAAATCTTGCTGAAGTTCCTTCTTATATTTGGTGGATTGATTTTGGAGCCACAACCCATGTTATTAATTTAATACAGGGATTCC